TATTCACTGAAACATTCCAAGAGAGTTTGAACTGGGCTACTCAAGATATTGTCTATAACCAGGTCTAACTTGCAGAGACAGAAGGTTTTCCCAAGTATGTTCTAAAAACACAGAATCCCCTTATTAGTGGTCCAAATCTCTGGGCAAGGGGTGCTATTTTTGGCTGTGGTTTTGGTAGTTGATGCTTTTACTTTCTGAGTCTGCCTTATCAGCCCAAGTGGAAACCGTTCCAGCCAGTCTGCTCCTGCTCGCCCTACTTACTGCCGAAAGAAAGGACCACATTACTGCTGTTATAAACCATTGATTAAGGTTTATAATAGCAATAATCCCCTCGAAATTCATTGTTACTGCAGTTAATGACCAGTTTATTAGAGCGTTAACCATCCTTGGCAATGGGCTGAGTCGTTTAATGCTGGTAACGACCAATTTCTCAAGGGTTATTGCTTAAATAACAATCCTTAGTTAGATATATGCTCAACCACCAGATATAACACCAGCTGGAACCTTCTCCTGTGCAATAATTGTTCATTATTATTCCCAAGTTCTGCCATCGCGTCTTAAAGTTTCAGATCCAAAGGGCCATTTAGTGGGGGAAGTATCTAAGAACTGAAAGCAAAGTGCTAGACCAAGTATTGGCAATAGGAACGGGAACGGCCAGACTTGCAGATGTAATCCCCAACATCCCCTTCTAGTCATCATGGGAGGGGGAGATCCAGGCCACAATTTATGGCTCTGACCACCAGAACATCCCATGCTGGCTTTATCTTCCATTCTACATGGGTTGCAGAAGGTCTGAAGCAGAGAGCTTAAATTCATGGGAAGCCTTTGCACACAGAGCAGGCTCCCTGCTTCAGACATTATCCTCCATTGTGAAAGGGCTGGCATGGGGTATAAAGCTGGGGCTAGGACATTATGGTGTACACCAGTAGGAGTGGAGGCAGCATGAGGTGCAACAATAGAGACAGGGGCAACAAGCATTTGGGGGGTGAACAAGTGTGGTTTGCCCAGGGCTCCCTGAAACTTGCAGATATATGTGTCAAGGCAGCAAGCTTGCTCGTTGCAACTGAACTGCAGTAGTTAACCACCCTGCATCATTTCCCTCCCCTTTAAGATTGTTCCTTGCCTTCCTGTCCGCCATCTTGGGAAACTCAAGTGAGCTGAATACTACCAGTATTGTCAGAGGCAGATTTAAGGAAGCAGAACCAGTTCGCCCACACTGGGCTCCAAGCCAAGAGGGTGCCACAACAATGATGAACAATGGAAGGTGAGAGGCAGGGCTGCCATGTTTTGGCATCACAGAAGGTACCGCTGGAATTTTAAAGCCCAAAGGCCGCCACTTGTACTGTTCTCTAGTAGCATTCCCTCATTGGCTGGCAAAATCCTCCCTTAAAGTCCCTCGCTGGTTGTGCCAACTCCAGAGCAACATATCTGCCCGCTCCTCTCTTCTCCTTTTTCTCTGCTATCCCAAGCTATCCATCTTCACCCTTGTTGGCATGGGTAACAGTAGTGGACAGCATAGTGGTAGGTGCTGCTTATCTAACCTCCGGCTTGTCACATTGCTGCTGCCATCAAGGCCAGCAGTCAGAGATGATGGGAATTGGTGTCCATCTGGAGGGCCACTGTGACCTAGAAGTCACTGAAATTCTTTCAAAGGATTCTGGGAAATGATATACAATGAACTGAAAAAGGTATTTAAATATACCTTCTTGAAAAAACCAGAGGCCTTTCTCCTGGGCATAGTCGGTCAATTGGTGCCAAAGAAGGATAGAACTTTTTTCATGTATGCCACAACAGCAGCAAGAATACTCATTGCAAAGTATTGGAAGACACAAGATCTACCCACTCTGGAAGAATGGCAGATGAAGTTGATGGACTATATGGAACTGGCAGAAATGACTGGCAGAATCCGAGACCAGGGAGAAGAGTCAGTGGAAGAAGATTGGAAGAAGTTCAAAGATTATCTACAGAAATATTGTAAAATTAATGAATGTTAGAACGATGTTGGATAGAAATTAAGTGGTTTCCAGCTGTAATGCTTTAAGGGAATATGAAAAATGGGTTGTTAAGAGGTAAAAATCTAACGTTACTATTTTAAGACCAAAGATTAGGACAAATAAAGAGGGTAAGGATTTGCTGAACCAACAAACTGAACTGGAATACAAAAAAGGGAGGTATGAGGAGGTCCGGGAAACAAGCTAAGGAAAAATAAGTAATGGAAAAATTGAGTGGTTTTTAATCATCTTTATTTTGTATTTTTTTTTCTTTTTCATTTGTTATTGTAATATTTACAAAAAATCTTAATAAATATCTTATAAAAAGAAAAAAAGAAATTCTTTCAAAGGATTTTGAATCAAGTGGCTCCTGATCTGATCCAGCAAGACATTTGTTCTCCAGCAAAAGTGTCCACAGATTATCATTAAAATCAGGAATATATTATAGCATACTGAAAAGTTATGAGAATGAGCTTTTGCTCTGTGGATTTAAAACACATTTGTAGACTGTGGGGCTAAGTAGAGCTCCTGAGACCACAGGGAGCCTATTCTGTGATCTTGTTCTGCTATGAAAAGGAGGCGCTGGTGTCATCTTCATGATTTCCCCCAAATTCCAAAGTGCACACTTTTTTTTCAAATGGGAAAAGATAATGAAAATAATGCTGCAGTGTAAGCACTCTCTTGGCCTTTAATTAAAAACATATTTTACCCCAGAACCCCTAAGAAGATCAGATGTGCAACTGAGCACCCAGTGCTGATTGGCTCTCAAACACCCTACATCACCTATCAAATCCTTGCTTCCCTCAACTGGAAGAGCAAAACTAGTCAGCAAAAGCTGAGGAGATGGCAATGTTTTGCCTCCTTTCTTTTCCTCCTGAAAAATAATAACCTTAACCTCTGCCTCTCTGTCAAGCCAAGCAGTTTCTCTTTGTGGAAAGGAGTTGCATCGAGGCAAGTACAGTTCTCCCAGAACAGTTAACGTTGTCTCTTTCTCTCTCTCGAAAGACAGTTCTTCAATTTATCCAAGCCATGTCAAGTTACATTTGCGGCACGTAACAAGCCGAGCAAATTATGCTCTCCTTCTGTTGTGGGGTAGATTTGGAAGGTAAGAATGGAGTGGCTCAGAGGTTATGTCTCAACATGTTGGCAGTTAGGCCACGTTATCAGCTGGTGTGGGAAGGCAGAGGCTTTTGCAGTGGGCCTCATTACACAGGGGTCCTAAGATATAGGAACTGGATCCGTGCTGGACCATGGAGAGAATGGCAGCCCAACTAACTTGGAAGGGATGATCTTGAGGCTACAGGTATTGGAGCCAGGAGTCAAGCATAGAATCGTAGAATTATAGAGTTGGAAGGGACCCTGAGAGTCATCTACTCCAACCTCCTACAAAGCAAGAATCTCAACTAAAGCATCCTTTACAGGTGGCCATCCTACCTCTGCTTAAAAACCTCAAAGGAAGGAGAGTTACCTTCTGAAGGAGTCTGTTCCACTGTCAAACAGCTCTTACTTCCAAAAAGTTCCTCCTGATGTTTAGTCAGAATCTCCTTCCTTGCAACTTAAGGCCATTTGTTCAGATCCTACCTTCCGGAACAGGAGAAAACAAGCTTGCTCCATGTGTGACAGCTCTTAAGATATTTGAAAATGGCTACCTTATCTCCTCTCAGTCTCCTCTTTTGCTGGCTAAACATACCCAGCTTCTTCAACCATTCCTCATAAGGCTTGGATTTCAGACCCTTGATAATCTTGGTCATCCTCCTCTGCACACATTCCAGCTTGTCAATATACTTCTTAAATTGTGGTGTCCAGAACTGGACACGGTACTCTAGGTTGTTGTTGTTATATCCCTGGTCAACGACAATGCTGGACTGAGGAAGAGACCTGTTGGATCAGGCGAAAGGCCCATCTAGTCCAGCATCCTGTTCTCACACTGCTCAGCCAGATACCTATCGCAATCCTGAAAGCAGGATCTGACACTTAAGACTCTCAACTAGAAACTGAGTAACAGAGGTAAGTAATTTTTAAAGTAAACATAATATTTTTGGAATTAGATATTTAATATCAGTTATCATAGAGAGGACTCTTGTCCTAATAATGAGGATAATTTTGTCACCCTAACAGGGTTGAGGAAAGGGGGTGCATATGAGCATGGCAGCAGATTTCCATGTCCACACCACTAGCTGGGTGAGGAAATGATTGTGGATCAGCTGAAAATCAGCAAAAACACTGAACAGATGTTCAGGACAGGGAGCAGAGGCTGGAGTTAGTCCCTCCTGTTTCTTCTTTCCCCAAAACAGCTGATTAGTGCTATCAATCAACAGCTGAGCCACAGCTAAGGCCTGGAGAGAGAACATTTTCTGCCACCTCCCAGAGCATTGATAAGTCACCATGGCTTTTAAAGGAATCTTATTGTTGGGCTGTCCTATATCTGTTTTCACTTGTTGTCAGCTTATTGTCAGTGATAGAGGGTATGTTGTCAGAAATGTGGGCTGTAAATATTCCAAGTAACTAAGTAAATATTCTGAACAAGGCTACAAGCATGCAGCCTTAGCTACTGTAGAAACGTGACGATTTCATGCTGTTGAATAGCACCGCAGACCATTCACAAGTAGTGATGAGCAGGGCATTTTTATTTTTCAGAACTTGCCAGAACTCAGTTCCGGCACCTCTCAGGTGGGAGCCATTGCCATTCTAAGAGAATAAAGGAGACGTTCATGGTGAATTCCGGCACCTCTTTTCTAGAAAACAGCACTGGTTTAAGTATATATATTAATAGAAGTAGTCGTGACTGCTGAGTTTCTGCATGCAGCCTATTTCAAGCACAAAAGATTAACTGAATGGAACACAATGAAGTCTTGCAAGCATGTGTTCCATGCAACAGCGTAACTCCGAAATACAGAAATCATTTCCCCTGGAACATAGCAAGCTACTTTAGACTGAATTAGACCATCAGTCTATCTATCTCAGTACTGTAGATACTGGCTCTCTAGGTTTTCAGGCAAAGGTCTTTCCTGGAGATTCTGGGGACTGAACCTGGGACCTTCTGCGTGTGAGGCAGGAGCTCTTACACTGAGCTATGGCCTTTCTCTCCGAGGTTCTTTATGGGGTTTCAGATCTGTGAACTGAAGCATGGAAGGACTCCCATGGAAAAGCAAGGATGAGCCCTGCTGACATGAGCTTCTTATGAACAGGGGTACAGCAAGCTGCCAAGAATACTCTGCTGCTGTGTCAATTTTCTCACGTAACTGGCAGGCATGCTAAGGACAATGATGTTCCGGGAAGGGGGAAGGCATCCCCCATATATTTATTTTATGACTTATATTTAGATTTGTAAGCCCATCTTTCATCTAGTCAACTTTCTTCCTCTCTAGAGATCACTGCATGGATGAAAGGGCTCACTTTGGGAGGGGTGAAGAGGATTGTTTCCTACTGGGGCTCTTAACTTCTCATGAGCCCGCAAATTCAGCACAGTCAGTTCTCAGGCACTGTGTTTTTAGTTTCAGTCCTCCATTACAAGGAGCAGCCTGTTGCATTGCACCCCACCTCCAAGTCACTTTACAGTAAAGTGGTTTACGCATCCTCCATGTGGCTTTCTCTTCATGGCACATTTTATAATTTCAGGCAGGTCCCTGAGTGTTAAGCTGAACATATCAGACGACACAGCGATTCTTCAAACAGCTCTTGTTTATTCACAGGCCAGAACAGAACTGAACTGAACTGAAGGGTTCAGCCAGCCTGCTTATATAGAGCTCCACTACAACGCAACAGTAATCATTTTCTGTAACTATCCAATCACTGAACGTCACTTTCGATCCCTTATTTGCATATGTGGACCTGAACTATCTACAGTATCCCCCTGCTGGCCCAGGGTGAGAACTTCAGTACATAACACTGAGAGTAATGTTGTACCTAAGAAAATTAATCTTTATCACCGCCCTGCACAACGTCTACCTGCTTAGGTGGAATGTCTTTTGTGCACCTCCACTAGGTTCCTGCTGCTTCAGATTTCAGCTCAAAGGTGCATTGTCAATGGCCACATCCACACCATACATTTAAAAACCTATTATACCACTTTAACAGTTATAGCTTCCCCCCCCAAAAAAAAAAATCATTGGAACTGTAGTATGTTAAGGATGCTGGGAGTTGTTAGGATAGCCCCGCTCCCTTCACGGAGCCACAGTTTGCCAAAGTCGTTTAAGAATGAATCTTTCTTCCCATGGAATTCTGGGAAGGTGGCCAACATATGAAGAAGTGAGAAAGGCCTGACCTGCTGTCTCAGCTGGAGCTAACTGCCACTTAGCTTCTCCCCTTCCAGAACTGCCACCACCAATGGCTATTCCTCTTGGCTTCTTCTGCAGGGAAGAGAGAAATGAGACAGAAATGAGCCTTCCAAATGGATCTTCCCCTCCAAGAACTGTCTCCATTCAGTCACTCTGCTTGGCTCCATCAGAGGGAGAAGTGAGGAAATGAGGCCTACTCTATCACCCATCACCAGCGCCAATTTTCACTTTGGTTACATACCTCCAATAGCCGTTTCCTTCAATGACCACTACATCTGGCCATTATGTAACGTTATTAGGTAATGTTACGGAAGAGCTGGCACCCATTTTTATTTTCCTCTTCCTGGCACTCACAGGCATATTATGTGTGGCTCCAGCTTCCATGAGACTCAGCTGGTTATGACCAATTGTCAGAGATGATGGGAGTTGTAGTCCAGCATAATATGGAGGGTCATAATTTCCAAGTCTACTGTACGTCTTGTATTATGCCTAAAGGTACCTACTTAACCGAAAAGCCTATTCACATTTTTGAGAGAGGACTGACAAATTGGTTTTTCCACCATTCTGTTGTGCAATAGAGTTTCACAGGGAATCGGGTGTTAGGCAAAAAAAATAATCTTCATTTTTTGCAGGATAAGGGTGGTGGCAGAGAGAAGAAGATGTCACCCTAGCTATTGAGGCTGTCAGTTGTTTCACTGCACCAGAGGGGGGGGGGAACCATATTGCATCTATCTATCTATATATATATATCCATGAACATTTTAAAATAGGGTATTAATTACAGGACTGGAAAAGAATTGCAGACAGGAATACATTCCAGAGTGAAATCCTAATTTTGTATATTAATTACAGGGTGGGAAAAGGTATTCCAGACTGTAATCTGAAATGAATTATAGTATTGAACTAGAATGTGTACCACTAATACAAAAATAATAATAAAGCCTTGCCATAATGTAATGTTGCTATACATGAAAATCACAGTGTTGTGGATTAAACTGCAGTTCTTGAGACTGAAACTGTCAATTGCAGGATTCAAATGCTTATGTTGAAAGCAAAGCAAATCTCAGTTCCCTCCTGATTATAGGTTGTGTAGACTCTGGTGCTTACCACAAGGGGGAGACAGGATCACAATCTCTCTCTCTCTCACACACACACACACACAGAGAGAGAGAGAGAGAGAGAGAGAGAGAGACTTTTACATTATTTCAGTCTCAAAGCAAAGTGTCCTGGAAAGAAATTGCACAGTGTATCATGATCAAAATAATTATGCAAAATAATTTCCAAGGACTTGCCACTGTTGGAGGAAGTATGCTTCCGAATACCAGTTGCTAGAAACCAAGTGAGGGAAGAGTATTGTTGCGCTCAGGTCCTGTTTGTGGGCTTGCCATAGGCATGTGGAAGGCTGCTATGAGAATAGGACACTGAACTAGACACACCACTGACCTGATCCAGCAGACTCTTCTTGTATTGGCCTAACACGTCTTCACTTATCCAGTGCTATTTTTCTGGAAAAAGAGGTGCTGGAACTCACCACAAATGCCTCCCTTGTTCTCTTAGAATGGCAATGACGCCCACTTGAGAGGTGCCAGAACTGAGTTCTGCCCGGAAAAAAAAGCCCTCCACTCAAACTGCTTCCCCAATTGCCCAATGCAATTCTGGTGTATTTTTCATATTTAGCTTCTATTCCCATTGTAAAACTTGGGCTACAAATTTTGTACACAAACCCCATTGAATTCAGTGAGACTTCTGAGTGGAGGCGGTTAGGATTGCAACCTCAGCCTGGTATTAGTTTTGCTAGCAGGTCTGACTTGGCAACCAGGAAAAAAAGATTCCTTGGACTTTGGGCAACCTTAATATGATGGGTTGATGAAAGGAAAGAAGGAAGGAATTTAAATCTAATAGGTTGGATGGGTTGGAAGTCACAAATGGCTGGGGCCAGTGATAGCTATGATATGGTGAATATATATATATATATATATATATATCCATTTCATTTTCAGCAGTTGATATGTATAGCTAGTGGTGGCCAGCAACCATTGGGAGCAACAGGGCAAAAGGCAGGGTGGCCAACAGTAGGGAGAGTCAGATTCAATAACAGGTGAAGTCGACTAATTCTGCTTTTGTCACCATCCTCTTCTACAAGGCATTACTTAGTCTAAGGAGGGGAAAGCAAACAGTGAGCTGATTGTAAGAAAGAAGGCAAGTCGGTGGGAGATGGCTGAGGTTGGGTACCCCAGTTGACCTAATGCACCAGCCTCTACTGTGCTGACTCCTTAGACTGCTTTTTAGGCTTTGATGAATGGGTTTTCCAGCAAATTTCGGATGTTGAACAGAAATCTTGCTGAGGAAACTTAGAAAACCTTCAATGGATTGTGGCATCAGCTTTATTCTAGAGTGGGCTTCCTCAACCTCTGCCCTCAGATATTTTTGGCCTACAACTCCCTGGATCCCTAGCTAGCAGGACCAGTGGTCAGGGATGATGGGACCTGTAGTCTCAAAACATCTGGAGAGCTGAGTTTGAGGAAGCGTGTTCTAGAGCTACAAACTTTAACTGAATCATCTATTGGACTGATCAGTTCAACACCTGGATAATTGCACAACTTGATAATAAGTTACTTGTTTCAAAACAAGCACTTAGTGCCTGCCATCTGCAGTTTTTTATACCTCAGAAAAAGCATTATGCACGCTTCCACTCTAATGCAAGAGGGAATGCCTTTTCTGGCACCTGCTACAACATTAATCTTCAGCATCTCTAAACACAAAAGGTTTGTATCCATTTGAGTTATATTCAGAGAAGGATTGTTCAAATGGCTAAGTTAATAATGTTCATTATTTGCAACAGGTCTTCCCTGAGTAGGGCTAACACTGACTACAACCCCAGAAAAGTGTGTTTATCTTAGAAATCTAACCATAACCTCCAACTGTTGTTGAGATGGCCAGGAGCATAAGAGCTAAATGGAGATTTAAAATATATATATTTTTTAAAACGGGCAGGGGGTTGTGTCCAACTGTCATGGACTGGTTGGATATAGACTGGGGAATCCAGCTAGGGAACCACCATGGGAAGAAAGCACGGGGGTGGTGGTGGAACAATGGTGAATGGTCAGAGAGAAAAGGCTGGGAAGAGGAGGTGTCAGAAGCTGAGGAGGTAACTGGCCTTCGTAAGCAAGGAAAGTCTGTAGCAGAGAGAAGTCCAGAATCAGAGGCAGTAGCTGAAGCACAAGGGTGGGAGGAGAAAGGTGGGAGGAGATGAGTCAGGCTGGTGAAGAGTCGTGGGTGTCTCTCCCTCTTGCTGCAACAAGCTTCCCTCTGCTTTCTCCCAGAACCAGAAGAGGGCTGAAACAGGTGGAGCAGTGACAGGCTTCATGTAGGTGCAATCTCTGATCGCTTGGGGAAAGCCCTGGAGAGGAGGGGACTTAAACAGATGTGGAAAGGCAGGAACTTTCATGGGGTAAGACCTACTGGGGGTGAGCTGCTGTGCTCATTAGGCCTGATAGTCAGACAAGTCTGTGAAAATTGTGTTTTGCTAATAAAGTGTTATCTCCAACTTTGAACAGTGTGATTTACTGCTGGCTCGCTCTTTGACACCAACTAAGGCCCTGTGTTCGTTGTATATTTCAAGCAGTATCATAACACTTCAAACAGAGCTCCCCAGGAAGAATTAACTGTTAAACCACCCTGAGAATTGTGGCTCCAGAAGGAGAACAGGGGGACCTGCTACCAATTCTCAACACTCTTAACAAACTACATTTCCCAGAATTTGGGGGAAGCCATGGCTGTTTAAAGGGGCATGATACTGCTT